CCAACCAACACCAGGCAAAATCATAGATCTCAAAAAAGCATCTAATCTGGATGGATCATTTGGAAAAATTAAGGGAAAGTTTAAATTATTTTAAAATAAGATACTAGTCATTAAGATTGGAAACAAAATACAAGAACATCAGCTTCATAATTTTACAACAAAGGGGGCTGGGGTCTAAGCACCTGCCTGGCAAGTGCAAGGACTCATGTTCAATTCCCAGTACCTCATGCCATACAGGCCCAGTACTGAGTAGCCACCAAAACCAGGTGTGGTGGTACACACCTGTAATCCCAGCACTGCAGAGGTCGAGACAGGAGGATCACTATAAGTCTGAACTGTGTACAGACCCTGTACCAAATAAATAAAAGATTTAAAAAGTCAGAGTTGTGATCTTCAGAACAAAACTATGTAAAGTTAGCACACTATCTATCTTTGGAGCCTCAGTTTCATTTTTATAAAAACAGTAATACCTTGGTAATTCTATCATTTTAGTTATATCAGATGTTGATAATCTACCAGTATTAGCTGTATTAAGAGTCCATTTAATCTAGAAAACAAATTTGGCTTTGCTCAATGAACATTTATTGAGCACCTAACACACATGGTACACACTGTCATTAATAGATTAACAAAGGTCTGGGAATATATAAGGCTCTGAATAAACAAAATTAATATTAATTTCTCATTCCTATTTTTAATATCTATGGAATACTTATCTTTGTTTTCAGCTTAAAAAGTATTTCTAATTTTATCCTTTACTCACAATGTTTCCTTTCCAATAGTCGTCATAAAACTGAGATTTCAAATCCAGCAAAGTTATATACCTTTAATCTGATTATTTACACTATAAAATTATGATAGCTATTTTAAATGTTATTTTCTTTATATATAATTGTATTTCACTAACAGTGTAACTAGAAGCAGTAAAATTTGTTTTTTGTTAAACTTTTAAAATTTTAATAAGACGATGGAAATTAAATCTAACAATACACTGCTCTTACAGAAAAAAGTATGCCTGCTTATTATTGAACTTTGCCTTGTTTTCCTGGTCATACTCACAGCTGTTTAGGAGCAGATTGTCTTCAATACTTCCCAGCCCTTCACTTACAGTGTTGAGCATGTACTGGAGAAGACCCTCAAGTGCTAAAGAATTAGTTTTATTATAGTTTTTATATCCCCAGTTCTTTTTCATTTTAATTTTCAATTTTTTTCATAGCACTGGGGATTAAAGCCAGGGCCATTTTCTTTGAGCTATATCCCCAGCCCTTTCTTGCTAAGTCACTAGGATATCTGAGCTGGGTGGGAATTTGTGATCCTCCTGCCTCACCCTCCCACGTTGGTGCAGTTAGCAGTTTGCGCCACCACGCCCAGCTAGAGGATGAATTTTAAAATCCATGTAATCAACTTTATGTAATATGGTAAGGCTGAATGGGTTAAGGTGAATTTTCTTAGACTAAAGCAAAAAGCTTTAAGTAAACTCATTGGAAATATACTGTAAGTAAGCTTGACATTTATTAAGGAGTATGCTGCCAGGGATATTCATGGGGGTTTTGCTACTGTTTGTTTCAGAAAACCAGCATGTTTTATTAACAGGGATTGACACAGTAAGGAGCCTGCTCAAATACAGCAGGCGAAGAGAGAGAGGGAGGGAGAGAGAGAGAGAGGAGGGGGAGGGAGAGGGAAAGGGAGAGAGCCTCACAATTTCCATCCAAGAATCCAGGCAGAGCCCCGTAGCTGTCACTTTTCTGGTATTGTCCCTGGATTAGAGATCTATCTTCCAACTGGGGCCATTTGTTAAAGCTAGCTCATTGTGCTCCACTGTGATAAGTTACCCAGGCTGGGCTTAGTTTGCGACCCTTCTGCCTTCACTTTCCAGAATGCTAGATTCCAGGCCTATGCCACCCAGCCCGGAGGACCCATTGTGAGTGTTGAATTCAGTGATTGGAGCACTGGCAAGCTTTTGTCCTTGTGCAAACACGGGAGTTCGGGAGTTCGCAGCACGAAGGCATTGTTCTGTCTTCTCTTCCCAGCTGGGCGGCACCATCGGAGACATTGAGGGGATGCCGTTTGTGGAAGCCTTCAGACAGTTCCAGTTCAAGGCAAAGAGAGACAATTTCTACAACATCCATGTCAGCCTGGTCCCACAGGTGGGCTTCGCACATGTGTGTACCCTGCTACCTGTGTCTGCATTGGGCCTGGGGGTCGCCACTTACCCAGAAAAGCTGGACCTGTAGGGTACTGACAGGACTTGTCGCTTTCTAGCCCAGCGCCACTGGGGAACAGAAAACCAAGCCCACACAGAACAGCGTCCGTGCGCTGCGGGGCCTGGGGCTGACTCCGGATCTGGTGAGTGAAGTGCAGCGAGCCTCTTGGAGGATGGCCTCCATGCTTGACTTAGTGTAATTCGGGTTTTTCCTCTTTATTTATGTATTTATTTATTTTTGCATAATTTTATTGAGAAACAAATAGCAATGAGACAGTTTCAAACCAAATTGGTAGGACAGTTTCAATAATTAACACATTGTATATTCTCTTCCTAGTGGTTAATTGCTGTACAAGATGCGGACTCGACATCCTATTTACAAACACCATTAGAACAAATCATTCTATTCATTAAGAGAATGTAACTATATATCTATCCCAACCATTTTGAATACACAGATACAAAATGGACATTCATCTGTATCCCCCTTTTGTTTTGTTCCGTTATTTGAATATTATAGGTGTGTAAACTCAGCAAAATATTCTATGAGTCCAGTAGCCCATAATAGTATTGGGTCTTCCACTTCACTGGCGATGTCAGAAATTGTTGACCTGAGTCCCCCACAGCTCAGCATAACAGCATGGCTTTACTAATTTAGTTTAATTTGTTTGTCGAGGCAGGGTCTTGCATGTATTTTAGTCCAGTCTTAAACTCACTGTGTAGTCTAGGCTAGCTTTAAACTTGCAGCAATCCTCCTGCCTCAGCCTCCTGAGTGCTGGGATGACAGATGTGCACTACCGCACCTGGCTATTTATTTTCATTTACTATTATTTTTTTTGAGGGGATAGGGAACGGTCTTCCTATGTAGTCCAGGCTGGCCTCGGAGTCACGGCAAACTTCCTGCCTCAGCCTCTGGAGTGCTAAGATGACAGGCGTGTGCCACCACAGCCTGCTCTACTTACACTGACTGAAGCCACATTCAGCGTTGGCTCTGTCCACTCTCCTGGGCCTCTTGAGGTGGGAGAACTGGACACAGTGGCCAGCTGCAGGAGCAGTCAGCTCCTGCTTGCCAACCGAGCAAACTTCACCTCAACAGATTGTCTGCCGGAGTTCCACACCCATCGAGATGGCAGTGAAGGAGAAGATTTCCATGTTTTGTCACGTGAACCCTGAACAGGTTGGTGCTTGTGGCTCTTCACTGAGCCACATCCCTGGGCCCTTTTAAAAACTTGTTCATATAATTCCAAGACCAGGTCTCACTAGGTCATGAAGGGGCCTAGGTTGGGCTCTAGCTTTTGACCCTCCTGCCTCAGCCTCCCGAGTGCTGGGATCATAGGTGTGCGCCACCCCATCCAGCTTCCTGGTGTCCTTCTGTGTACTGGGAGAATTCACCTGCCGGTCGCTCCTGGGTTGGGCCGCCTTCCCGAGGCCTGTCTGATCCGCCCGCCCCAGCCTCAGCAGCCTGCTTTCTCCTGGCCGGCAGGTCATGTGTATCCACGACGTATCCTCCACCTACCGCGTGCCCGTGCTGCTGGAGCAGCAGGGCATCGTGAAGCACTTCAAGGAGCGGCTGGACCTGCCCATCAGCGACTCCTCAAGTGGCTTGCTGCTGAAGTGGGGGAACATGGCTGACAGGTGGGTCCCCCAGGGCCCTCCGCGTGCCTGCATGTGGCCCTGCCTGTGCACTGGTAGGGGGTTTACTGCATTCTTTGAAGACTTCTGCAGCCTTGACTTTTCTAGATTTAAACCAAAGCACACTGAAAGGATTTGGGCTTGGATAGAATATTTTTTTATTTGGGGAGGATTTAGATTTATTTCTTAGTTTCTGAATATTTTGTCACTTTATTCCCTTTTTTCTGTTTGTTTTTAGGATTCAGCTAGTATTTTTTTTCTCTTTTAAAAAATTTTAATAGTATGTTTAGTAGATAATGATTACATTCCCAGCTAATATTTTCTAAAGAAAATCCTTTTGTTTTGTTTGAGACAGAGCCTGGCTATCCTCTGACACCAGGTCTCACTAGGTCATTAAGGGGCCTAGGCTATCAGACTCCCAGCGATCCTCCTGCCTCAGCCTCCTGCGTGCTGGGATTATAGGCCTGTGCCACCCCGCCCAGTGCTCCCATACTTCCTAAAGCCAGATACATCTGGTCTTGGTACTAAGTTTCTTGCAGTTGCTGTACCAAATTACAGTGGCAGTTTGTATTCTCCCCATCCTGGGGGTCCCAAGGCCCAAGTCGAGTTTTCTGAGGCTTGTTCCTCGGGCTGCTCTGAGGGATCCGCTGGCTGCCCGCAGTCTTGGGGTGCTGGGCTTGTGACTTCCCCTCTCTGACATCTGCCTCTGCTTGCACACTGCCTTATCGCCATCTCTCTTCCTCTTCTCTTGTAAAGGCCGAGTATGGTGGTGGCGCATGCCTGTAACCCCAGCCCTTGAGAGGCTGAGGCAGGAGGATCACTGAAAGTTCAAGGCCAACCTGGGCTACATAGTGAGACCCTGTCTCAAAAAACCAACAAAACAAAACAAACAGGAATAGTGTAGGAGAGCCGGCCTGGAACTTGAGGTCAGAGTGGTACCCCTGTCCCACCTTGGGGAATGTCACTCCTCCCACTGTGGCAGTGGCTTCTACCACCACAGGCTGGCCTCTGCACATCTCAGTGGTCACTTGCAGCACAGATGGAGGAAAGAGGGTGTGTGGTGCATGGTGGGCCACCCCAGGAAGTGTGGTCACTGAGTGAGTGTTTCCTAGGCCTGTGAGTCCAAGGAGGGGGAGATAGTACTTGAGAGTAAGGGGAAGAGGCCCAGCCAGCTGCCCAGGAACACGACGTCCTGCCCCTCCCTCTGCCTGTGCTGCTGCTGGTTTTTGGTCTGTTTCTGACCTTCTGCCAAGAGGTGGTGTGGGCCGAACAGCTATGTTCTCTGGGGCAGTGGCACCTTCCACAGGGAGGGAGTTCAAGGGTTTCCGCCCGAGACAGGGTGTCTTGCTATGTAGTCCAGGCTGACCTTGAACTCACTGTGTGGCCAATCTGGCCTCAAACTCCCAGCAACCCTCCTGCCTCAGCCTCCCCTGTGCTGGGATGGCAGGTGTGCGCCACTGATAGGAACGAGAGCTTCCTCCTTGAGGTAATTTCTCAGGTATTTGTGAAAGGGCTGGCCCTGTGTTCTAATTTCTGTAACTAATCCCAGAGCACAGTTCTGTCATATGCTTTGAACAGAGTTCCTGATGAAAGTGACAGTAGAGAGTGCATCTTTCACGGAGAACTGTGCTTTGAGCATCTGTGTAGCACAGAACTTTCGCATAAAAGTGACGGCAATAGCTTGTAATGTTTCAAACAGTTCTCTAGCACCATTTTAGGGGTGCTGTGAAGACCTGGGCTTTGGGGGCCAGCCAGGAGTAGAAGCTTTGGAAGCAGAGATGCTCTGAATGCAAATTCTTCTACAGTGTCACCTTCCCAAGTTCTGCTTGAAATGTTTTCTGTTAAGTGCAGAAGCCGTTTCTTCTATAAGAAGTCATCTTATACACTCACTGGTGAACAGCTCATGTGTAAGACTTGTTTTCTTTTTCTTTTCTTTTTTGGCTGGCTCACGCTGCCTTAAGGGCAAGTCTGGTGAGGCCTGAGGAGCTGGGCACTGAACTGTGGTCCCCTGCGCCTGACTGGGTTTGCCCCAGCAGGCACTTAAACAACTGAGCTAACTAGCAAGCCCCCTAACGGCTTATGTGTATGACGTAGCTTGTTACATTTTTTTATTTTAAGTGCTTTTTTTGTCTGAGTGGCTGATTTCTGTCTGCACCCATTTATGTAAGGGATTTCTTAGGACTTTGATATGTATTTGGCCAACAGATTTTGGTCGTTTGGAGGGGAGACAGTCAAGTTTACCAGGTAGGAATAGTGTCTTCCCAAGGTTCAAAAAAGTACCCTGGAGCCAGGCATGGTGACCCACACTTATCATCCCAGCTCTTGGGAGGCTGAGGCAGGAGGATTACTGCAGGGTTGGGGCCAGCCTGGTGTACACAGCAAGTTCAAGGCCAGCCTAGACTGGAGAGGGAGACCCTGTCTCAAAAACCAAAAGCAAAACAAAGTGCTCTGGGAGAAAAGCAGCGGCCACCATCATTGCTTGTGAGGTGGCTTACACATGTGTAATCTTTGCGCTGTGTGCTCCGCAGGTATGAAAGGCTGCAGAAGATCTGCTCCATTGCCCTGGTTGGGAAGTACACCAAGCTCCGGGACTGCTACGCATCTGTGTTCAAAGCTCTGGAGCACTCGGCCCTGGCCATCAACCACAAGCTCAACCTCATGGTGAGTCCACCAGGCTCTGCAGTGTGGCCTCGAGACACCCTCGAGACACCCCAGGCTGGGGGCACCAGCCATGTCTCGGGCCTCAGCACACACATGCCCCTGGTGGGGTGGAAGTCGGCCTTGGAGCACAGGATGTGCCACGGCCTCTCGGCCTCGTCCCCTGCTCCCTGCGGATCCCACCCATTTCCTTGCTCAGCAGAGCTTCTCCCCTCCTCCCACATTTCCTACACACCTGCCAGTTGCTCTATCCCACGCTTATGGTTGTGCTTAGCTTTCTTTCTTTGGTGTTTGGAGACAGAGTCTCACTGTGTAGTCCTGGCTGGCCTTGAACTCACTGTGTAGCCCAGGTTGGTCCTGAAATTGCAGGGATCCTCCTGCCTCAGCCTCCTGAGTGCTGGGATTATAGGTGTGTGTCACTACACCCAGGTTTCTCAGTTATCTTTATTTATTTTTTAAAAAATAATTTTATTGAGAAACAAAGAGCAATGAGATAGTTTCAAAACCGATTAGTAGGACAGTTTCAATAATTAATACATTGCATATCATTGTCTTCTTAGTGGTTATTCATTGTACAAGATGCAGACATGATATCCTGTCCACAGACACCATTAGAACAAATCTCTCTATTCACTGAATTAAGAGAATGCAGCTGTATACTTATCCTAACTATTTTGAATATACAGATACAAAATGGTCCTTCATTTGTATCCCCCTTTTTTGTTTAGTTTTGTCAGAGAAGGGTATTTCATTGTCATTTAAATATTGTAGGTGCGTGAATTCGGCAAAATATTCCAATATACTCCAGTAGTCCATTATAGTAGTGGGTTATCTGTAGGACTAGCAATGTCAGAAGTTGTTGACTTGAGCCTTTTATAGCTCAGCATATTAATATGGCTTTGCCTTTTTATACTTTGTTTTTATACTTTTCTTCTGGATGGTTAAGACCAAGATAAAGCAAGACCTATGTAATAAGAAATGTAGCTTTTGTATCTGATAAGTTCTCAGTTATCTTAATTCTCCATCTGGGGTTTAGGGGTTTGCACCTCATCTCCCCAGAGGTCTCCTGGGGCCTCAGTCCTTCCCTTCCTTCCTGCAGTGGCAAGCAGTGGCTTTTGCGTAGCACCTTTTATTTGGAACTTTTTCCTTCCTTTCAGCTGCACTCTGGTGGCAATGTCTGTTTACTTAGTTGCATAATCTTCCGGGAAGGCTATAAGGGCCACCGAATAGATTGGCTATTTCTGTCCTAGTTTCCTGCGCAGCAGTTGCACGATAAGTACAGTAGGGTTTTCCAGCTCTCTGATTGTGACGGTGACCGCTTGTCCACACTGTTGTGGGTGTCCTCACTGTCAGTGCAATAGGTGGTCACTCAGGGACAGGTACCACTTAGTGTAAAATAGCTCTGTGTTCCATGCCTTTCCCCAGTGGGGAGCTAATGTAAGTGTCCTGAGCATTGCTTTCAATTCCAACAGGGACCTGAATTTTCCATATCGAAAAGATCATCAGAGCTGGGCGTGGTGGCACACACGTGTAATCCCACCATTCTGAGGCCGAGACAGGAAAATTGTAGGGGGTTCCAGGCCAGCCTGGGCTGCAAAGTGAGCTGAAGGCCCGCCTGGACTGCATAGTGAGACCCTGTCTCAAAAAAACCAAAACAAAACAAAACAAAAAAACCCAAAAGGTTGTTATTAGTCATAAAGAAAACCTGAAAATGTCATATTAAGAAAACCTGAAAATGTCATAGGCATTGGTGCCTCAGTTCACAAACTCAGTTCTCTCTGTGATTCTGGTCGCTAATTGATCTGGATGAGAGCTGAGTCAAATTTCCCCATCAGATCCAGATTGATTGTGCATAACTACTGAAAGCTCCTGGCCAACCCGGTTTGCGACCTGAATCCCATCTCTTCCCGCAAGGGGGCGCATGTCCAGCTTGCAGAGGGAAGGCTGGGCCAGGCTTGCGGGTGTGGAGCCCGTCCAGGTCTGCGTGTGAGGGAGCATCCGTGAGCGCGGGTTTTGGGGGCTCCAAGGCACAGTGTGCCCTTCTCACTCCGCCTTCTGCGCCCTGTCCCTCTAGTACATCGACTCCATCGACCTGGAGCAGGATGCCAAGGCCCAGGACCCCGTGCGGTTCCACGAAGCCTGGCAGAAGCTGTGCAAGGCTGAGTGAGTGCAGGCGCCGGGATGGGGATGGGCGCTGGAGAAGCAGGCGCAGCTGTGGCACTGGCCATGTGACCGAAGGGTGGGAGGGTAGGGGATGAGGCGCGTGGGGGTGGTGGCGACAAGGGTCCTTGGGGTGTCGGTAGGAGTGCTGTGTGGAGGTGGGGTGTTGATTCTCCAGAGAGAGAGAGACAGAGGAATGAACTGAAGAATGCACACACTTCAGGTACAAGAGGGGCAGCTTTCCTTTTGATTGCTGTTTTTATTCATTTATTTATTATTATTCTTTTTTGAGATAAGGTCTCACTGTGTAGTTCAGGCTGCACTTGAACTCACTTTGTAGCCTAGGCTAGACTCCAACTTGCAGTGATCCTCCTGTTTCTGCCTCTTGAGTGCTGGGATAAAAAGGCATCACTCCCATTATTGTTTTTTTTTTTTTTTTTTTTTTTTGTGGAACCAGGGATTGAACTCCGGCCCTTGTGCTTGCAGTGCAAGCACTTATTCTACTGAGCTATCACCCCGGCCCCTGTGTTATTATTAACATAATACTGGTCATGTACACTAAAACCCACATTTTTAATTTTAATTAATTTAAATTTTTTTTTCTGTATTTAGGACAGGGTCTACAGGCTGTACAGGGTCTTACTACACTGATTGGACTCAGTGATTCTCCTATTTTCAGCCTCCCAAATGCTGGGATTACAGGCATGAACCACCATGCCCAGTCTCACTTGCTGTCTCGGCACACCCTGGGAGCGGACCTGGCATGGCCCACTGGGACGGAACCCCAGTCATCGTGCTGTGCCCAAGCAGGCGCTTTAGTCCACTGAGCTATCTGGGCGGCCCTGAACCCACCCTTTTAAAGTGCTCAGCTTGGTAGTGGTTGTCTGTTCACAAGGTTGCACAGCCATCACCACCACTCACCTTAATTGTACTTTGATTTGTTAAATCATGTGCAGAGCTGCTGGGGTTCCCACTCGTCCTGGTCACCTGGGGCTGATGGGCTAGAACAGAGATGGTGGACCTTTTAGAGCTTTCAGTGATATAGCCAGCCAGCTGCTGCATGTGTGCCGTAGGTTCACCACCATGGAGCTAGGAGGTCTCCAGCCCCCCTGCCCCCCGTACTGGGAATCGATCTCAGAACCTTGCATCCCTGGCTAGCCAGGGAATTTTCATTCACTGCCCTTAATTATCGGTTCAAATGTAAGGCTAATTTTTTTAAGGTAGTTTAACTGTTTTTGATTACATAAGAGAGCTTTTAATTTAGTCTTGTTTTCTGAATTGGCTATGTAACCCAGGCTGGCCTCGAACTTGTAACCACCTTCCTGCCTTGGCCTGCCCAGAGCCAGGATTATAAGCATGTGATGCCATACACCTGTGCCTGGAAGTGTCATGGAGGCGACTGAGAAGTCAGAGCTTCCTAGTTGGAGGGCAAGTGCAAGCCCTGTGTGCCCTGTGGGCAATGGCGCCCTGGTGGGGACCTATGGTGTGTATGTACCAGGCTCCGGGTGCGGGCTCAGTAGCATGAATAAGGTTGCACACACAGCGTTAGCAGGAAGAGCAGTCCTGACCTCACTCACCATCTTCTTGTGTTGATTTCAGTGGTGTTCTTGTGCCTGGAGGCTTTGGTCTCAGAGGAACCTTGGGAAAAATCCAGGCGATTTCTTGGGCAAGGACAAGGAAGATTCCCTTTCTGGGTAAAACTCATATATATTGATTCTAATTATGAATTTTTAAATGCTGTGCTGGGGATTGAACTCAGGCCCTTTGCGCTGAGCTACACCCCCAGTACTTTTTCTGTTGTTTGAGACAGAGTCTCACTAAGTTGTTAAATTGCCCAGGCTGGGCTCAGACTCGTGATCTTTCTGACTTAGCCTCCCAGAGTGCTGGGATTATAAACCTGTACCACCACACTGGGCAAGTTTATGGCCCAAGCTGGCCCTGAACTGGTAGTGATCCTCCTGCCTCGGCCTCCTGTTCAGCGTGCACCACCATGCCTAAGTATGTTAGCTTTCTGATACTTAGTAGTGGTCACACTAAAGTTTGTAATTGCGAAGCTGTGAACTTGAAGTTGACAATTTAGGCACCTAATAGTATGCTATAGGGTTTAGCAAACTGTCTTAATACCAAATCTGGCTCATGGGTGTTTCTGTAAAAATTTACTGGAACATAGCCACACAAACTACTTTGGCATAATGTCACATAGCAGCATTTGAGACTATACAGCTTGCAAAGCCTAGAATGTTTGTCACCTGACACTTTAGAGCTAGTGTGTTTCCCTAGGAGAATTTGCATTGTGAAAAGTTCTAGCTGATCAGAACCTGGGAGAGGCCTCTGGTTGGACCTCCTTTCTCCAATTCTCTCCCCAACCTGTCCTCTCGCTACTGTAAGCAGAGGGCTGCTTACCAGGAGTGGAGTCTCTGTGCAGAACAGATATTGTGGACAAGATTCCAGATGAGGTAATACAAAAAGACCAGCTCATGTCCTAGGTGTGGCTCTGGTAGAGTGTGGTACAGTCTGTTTCTTTTGTTATTTTAAGAGACAAAATGTGTTGTCCAGGCTGGCCCAAAGTGTGGGTTTAAGCAGTCCTCCTGCCTCAGCATCCCAGTATAAAAGCTGGGCATGGTGGTACACGCCTGTCATCCTAACACTGAGGAGGCTGAGGCAGAAGGATTGCTGTGAGTTCGAGGCCAGCCTGGGCTACATAGTAAGAGCCTGTCTACAAAAAAAAATGCATAAATAAGTTTTTTTTTTGAAAAAATGAGATAAATAAGTTTTTAAAAGTGAGTAAATGCCACCTGTGTCCATTTGTTGATCTATGTGCTCTTTACGATAGGAGTCTGCCTTGGGATGCAGCTGGCTGTGATCGAGTTCGCGAGAAGCTGCCTGGACATGAAAGGTGAGGCTGAGGCCGGCTGGTGCCTGTGCACTTACAACACTTTATCCCTTACAGTCTTTTCAGCAGCACCTGTAACTCTGTGACCTCTTCTTAATCTCCAGATGCCAACTCCACCGAGTTTGAGCCCGACACCCCTGTACCTTTGGTAAGTGGCCTGCTTATTTTTCCAGTCTGTTCCCTATTGTTTGGTTTCCGGCTCCTGCATGAATACATGGGGGGGGGATTATTAATTTTTCTTTACTGTGCCAGAATATGGAAAATGCGATATGAATTGATTATTATCTTTATTTTTACATCATACTGCGCTGCTCTCAGTGGTCTGTCTCATTGTCTGTGCCTGGGACAGACAAATCCTGGACTGATTTCTCTCTGCCACAGCTTTCAGGCTTAATGTTTAGGAAAGGAGTCAATTGGCCGTGATGACAATTTATAACAGCTAATAGAAATAAATGAGCTGTCCTGTCTCCAGACTCATCCTCAGCCTCTCTATTTTCCACATTGGTGGCCATCTATCTTTCTAAAACAAAAGTGACAACCATACTGCTGCTGGGCCTCATCTTCAGCCATTTCATTTTTCCCTGAAATACTCAAGCCAGGTGTGGTGGCGCATGCTTGTAATCCCAGCACTCAGGAGGCTGAGGCAGGAGGATTGCCACAAACTGGAGGCCAGCCTGCGCTATATAGTGAGTTCAAGGCCAGCCTGAAGTACACAGTAAGACCCTGTCCCAAGACACCAAACCAAACAAACCCCAAAAGTAGGGAAATCTGTTGGTCTTTCTGTAACTCCCTCCCTTCCCGGATGAAAGGTAGCACAAGCGGTGCTTTTTCACTTAACATTATATGTCGGTGATGCCCTCGTGCAAGGACACGGACATGTTCTTCCTGCCTTTTTATAGCATCCAGCTCAAGCCTTAACGAGATACCAGCAAATGCCTCCTTATCTGTGTTTAATAGAAATGGATTTCCTGAATAACAGCTGAAATAGCTGTTCCAGGGAGACTGGCTTTCTTCTCTGTTTTACGAGGTGGGAAGTGATTTGGCCAGTAGGTGTCACTGTCGGATAGCTTTGGCGAGGTGAATTGGTTACTGACTGTTCTTTGACTGTTCTTTACTCCTGTGTGGGTGTGGGTGGGGGTGTGCATGGAGGAAAAAAAGACACAGATAAAGCAAAGTTCAGCCCTGTAGAAAGGGCATGATACTCGTCTCACGCATGCACCTTTGCCTGTTTCACTTCCTAGGGACAGCTACGTTTGTCTTGTTCTTTTGTTGCTAGTCCAGAGATTGTGCATACATGCATAGATGTGTACCTCACTCCCCTCTTTTTGAGGCTAGGGATCAACCCCAGGGCCCTGGGCATGGTGGGCCAGTGCTGTATTGCTGAGCTGTATCTCTAGCCCCTGTATGCCCACTTTATTTATTTACTTATTTTCAAAAATTTTTTTTAATGTTTTATTTCTTTGGTACAGGGTCTCACTATGCAGCTTGGACTCATAGTGATCCTCTTGGCGACCAGCATGGCATGCAGTACCACGGATCAAACCCAGGTTCTTGCACTTGCCAGGCAGGCGCTTAGAGTGCTGTGCCATCTCCCCAGCTCATCCATTTGATTTTTTTGAGACGGGGTGTAGTTTAGGCTGGTATTGAATTCACGGAGATCCTTTTGCCTCAGCCTCCCAAGTGCTGTGATTCCACGCATGGGCCTCCATGCCATTTACTTTTAAATGAGACCCTGGTACCCTGTGGCAGCTCCCAGGGGCTTTTGCCGCTAGCCCTGCGCTGTGCTCTGCGCATGCGGTGGTGCAGTCTTTTTTTTTTTTAATTTTTATTTATTTATGTGTGGCCAGCTCAGCCCACCAGGGGGCGGGGCTGGCTGGCATGTGGTGCTGGGGGATTGAACCGTGGTCCCTGTGCTTTGCTAAGCTTGTTCTAAGTAGGTGCTTTAGACCACTGAGCCATCTCACCAGCCCCGGTGCAGTCTTATACTTGGCCTGTGCCCCTTATTTTCTTTGCTGTAAATCCTGGTGCTAATGCACCTCTGCCTGCACCTGCTTGTGTCCTGCATCCCCTTGTACACACATCTGCAGGGGATACAAGAGGGGACTGCTCAGGTGGGGGACGTGCACATCATGTGACCCCACAGTGCCTGTGCACATGAGCGAGCTGGGCGAGGGCAGTCATCTGCTGTGCTCCTGAGAGTTCCACCAGTAGCAACAGCACTATCACTGATGGCAGGGTCCTGCTAGAGGACAGAGAGCTGCTGGACCCGTTGGCCAGCAGTGGGCAGCCTGAGCGCCTGCTATACTAGAGCGAGTGGGTACTTGGTTGGTCACCAGCGCTCTGATACTTGTGGGAAAACAGTAAGGAGAGTTACTGCCTTGTATGGTGTATTTTCTGCTCAGATATGTTCCTTGGGCTATTGTGACACTCCCTTGGGATGTCCCTTGCATGTGACACTTGCTTATGAGCTCCATGTTGACACCGGCATCCAGGACAGATCTAAAAGGAGGTAGCTCTTAGACACAATAAAAGGCAAAATTGCTGGACATCATCCCAATGCTTGGGAGGCTGAGGCAGGAGGATCTCCTTGAGTTCAATGTCAGCCTAGGCTATGTTGCGAGACCCTGTCTCAAACAAATAAACAAAAAATTAGTTAATTAAAAAAGGGAGAAATAGATTTTTCTGTGCCGGTTAAGGTCTCACTAAGTTGGAAAGTGCCCAAGAGAATGAGTGAAACTGATTTTGCCATGTCTCTCCTTGACTTGGCCTCTAAGGCACAATATAAGGTCTGGGATGCTGCAGGATATTTTGGCTTGGTTCTACAGAAGCTTTAGTTTTCTATCCTGCCTCAGGGTCTTCTGAGAAGACACTTATCAGGCATCTAGCGGACTTCCATTCTAATTCTGTGTCAGTCCACCAATGCTGTTGACAGTGACAGAAATTGTTTTGTTTGTTGAGAAGATCTCCTGTGTAACCTAGGTTGTCCTTGAACTCTTGGCCTCCTCCAATCTCAGCTTGTCAAGTGCTGGGATTACAGGTGTGTACCCAGGCTAGGCTTACAGACACTCCTGAGCTTGACTTTGCCTTTCGCTCTTTTTCCCGCTGATCTGAAGGGTAGCTGGCGGTGCTGGTGGCACTGTGGATGTTCTAGCTAGAATACTTTTGGCCTTTGAGGCCCACATGGGAAGGATGCTCTCAATGTCAATATTAATATGTGCGGACCTTCCTGACGCTAAGCATCTCTTCTGTTTGTTGAAAAAGATAAGTCTAGAAAATGAATTTACGTAAGATGCTCCTCTCAGAAAACAGGATGCATGTTCCATTTTCAAAACAGCAACATACATGTATACTTGGAGGGTGGTATTAGTGAGGGAAAAAAAGAAATTAAAGCATTTCAACAAGATGCACATGGATATTTGGAATTGATCATGTTTTAATTTAATTGAATTTTTTTGGCCCTGAGGATCGAGCCCAGGGTCTTCACACCATGCTATATCCCTTATCCCCCCCTTTTTATTTTGAGACAGGATCTCGCTGTGTAATTCAGGCTGGCCATGAGCTCACTTATGCAGCTCACGCTGACCTGAGTCTCTTGGTGATCCTCCTGCCTTAGGCTCCCAAGCGCTAGGATTACAGGTGTGTGCCATCACACCTGGCTTTTAGTTTTTTGAGAGAGGGTCTTGATGTGTAGTCCAGGCTGGTCTTGAACTCACTGTATAATCTGGCTGGCCTCAAACTCATGGTGATCCTCCCGCCTCAGCCTCCTGAGTGCTGGGAACCCACTAGGCCTGGCTCACTTCACTATTCATTATTCATTATAAGCATAACTTCATTTATCCCTTTCTGATCCAGAAATTTGCAAAGTTAGATTTAATTTTATATCTCGTAGAGATTTGTGAAATAGTCCCTTATAATTCAAAGCTGATTCAGGCGAAGGGGCAATTTCCTTTCTCTGTTAAGCATAACACATGCATTACACTTTCCTGCCTTTAGGTGCAGTCCTGTTTGAAATATTTTCTCTTCCTTATTGCTCAAAAACTTCATATGGCATGCAAAGGAAGAGATGTGTGAAAGACATAGCCCCGCTAGCGTAACCAAAAGATAGCTCTCCCCACTTGGAGGACTGAGAACGTTCAGGACACTGAAATAAGTATTCTTACTGATACAAAGACCTGCTTGGGCTCATTTGGAAGTTAGTGCCCCTACCCCCTTCCATGAAGGCTGAGGCAGAAGGACTGCTGGAAGTTGGACACCAGCCTAGGCTACCTAATGAGACCCTTTCCCAAGCAAAGAAAGGAACAAACAAGAAATACTTCTGGAGACCTAATTTACAGCATAGTGATACTGCTTAATAATACTGTATTGGCTGGACGTGGTGATGTACCTCTGTAATCCCAGCACTCAGGAGGCTGAGGCCGGAGGATTACCGTGAGTTTAAGGCCATACAGATGTTTGAAATTTGCTGAAGACAGTAGATGTCAAGTATTACCCACCAGCTAACTAGGTGAGATAATGGATATAGTCTGCTTGATTTTGGTAATCATTTCACTATGTATATTTGAAAACATCATATATATATTTGTATTTTAGGGAAGGGTCTACAGGGTGTTCAGGGTCTCATTACTAGATCACACTCGTAGTGATCCGCCTGTTTACAGCCTCCCAAGTGCCGGACTTACAGGTGTGCATCACCATGCCCAGCCTCATTTGCAGTCTCAGGTGGTGGGGCCGGTACGGCAGGTGCAGGGATCGAACTCCCAGCCCTTGAGCTTGCTTGTAGGTACTTTAATCCACTGAGCTATTTGGCCAGCCCTTCAGATATCTTGAATATATACAATATTTGCCAGTTATTTCTTTGTCTTTTTTTGGGAAACCGGGGATTGAACTCAGGTCCTGGTGCTTGCAAGGGAAGCTCCTGGTGCTTGCAAGGGAAGCACTTATTCCACTAAGCCATCTCCCCGGCCCCTTGCC